ACACGTGCTGTTGGCAGCTCACGAGGTATCACTCAATGAACTACACGCCCAGCGGTACAGCGAGCCAACCAACACTCTACAGACAAGCTCCACTACCTAAATATACATGTTAATACGGAATCTTGACTTCTGTCCAAAGTTTTCAATGTTACATACTTACATAGAGGCATGCCTGCCAGACTTAAACCTCAGTTACAATGGAGTGGGTTTGTAAATCCATCCCTGGTTCCAGTAGTAACCAGAAAACCAAAACGGTGTAACGATTGTTTTTGAAAACCACACATACGTTAATTTTAAACCAAGAATTGTCCATAATTGTGATAAAAATAACTTGCCTTATAAATAGTACGTCAAAATTACATTTATTCATCCCACACATACAAATAATTAAAATTCTGAGCATGAATGAATTTTATGAAAGGACGCCGCGTTGCAACTGTACCTAACTTAATTTGGATTGAAATCGCACACTTCGTTTCAGTTTCGTGAACTCTGTGAATACCCTAACATTTAGGTTGAATGTGGCCGAATTAGCTGAACTACGCAAGCCTATTACTGGTGTTTACCCGACAGCGGATGAATGTGTCACATGGCTACACTAGTCGCTAGTACAGTCACAATGGAGTGACAGCTAGGAAAGCAGGTCGCGGTTCGCTGCGTGCTCAAGGATTCCTCTAAACTTTTTAGTCACACCTCCCCCATTCAGTTCACAGACAAAATCAAGTGCTAAATCGTTCAGATCCGGCTTAGCACAAGTCTAATCAATTTTGCGATTCAATTCAATTGTGTCTCGGGACTCGACATTATGTGTAAATAAGGACGTCGGACAAACAGGTTATTTTAAACCATGTCCCACACATTGTAGAGTCCTACAGTCTCGTTACGTGCTTACCTAGTGTGTTATGCAGGAAGACGCAAGAAATAAAACATAAGAGGTCAACGAAATAAAAGAATAATAACTATTGACTAAGAAGTTGTTATTCATATCTCGTGTTGGCGCAAACTGTGTAACAATAGCTCATGCTATGCCGGATTACTGATAGCTCTTAATTCTTGGGTACATAATATTTGAATCAGAAATAATCTTGATTTTGCATTTCCCAGAAAACCAACTACAGTTTTTTTATTACCTTGATTTAAAATAGGTTCATAAATAAAACATGTCCTTCGAATTGTTAATGTCTTCATGTTTTATTTAATTCGGAAAATGTCTTTCAATTCGTTTCTGTAATTTCAGCAATAATTTCAGGTACTTGAAATACAATAGAGTTAGTCATTATACGGTAGTTTGTTATACATTCATCTCATACATCATTATTTCGGACGTGTCTGGACATGTCAGATCATCTTGACAGGACTTGGAAGCCTTGAGACTCACGGAATATATAATACAATATTCCGTGTTGAGACTAATGTAATGAATTGATTTTTAAATTCAAAGTTTGATCGATGGCCACAGGGACTATCATTTGAACGATATAGGGATTTAATGTTTTATATCTGAGAAACGATATGCAGTGCAAAACACAGATAAGCTCTGCATTTCTAAGAGATGTGTACTCACTGAACCATAGAGTGGCATGTGTAAAGATAAAAATTATTTTTTTCTTAGAAGTCCAGGTGTTGTGTGTCCATCTTTAGTTAGTTATAGGAGATTACACACCCACAATCTAAATACAATAAAACAGTCAAGGTGACATGTTTAAAACAGCAGAAGTCCGTTTAACCAATACCCACTGATAAATGAGAAACGCAGAAAGTGGTGATTATGATTGTTTAGTACGTAAAAATAGTAACGATTTACAAAACAACATCTTTTTCTGGGTGTTTGCCAAAACATTGTCATGTATGTATGTTTATAAACCTATGTATCCTTCGTATGTATGCAAACATCGGCTGAGAGTCGCTATTTCTTGTGAACATGTCAGCTGACTCTAAAAACAATGTTGTGTACTTTGGTCTTTATGGTCTTTCATTACGTATCCTAAGTTTGATGGACATACTATTTCTGAAACGGAAAAAAAAACCTAAACATCAATTTGAAAACGTGATAATTTTTACTTCTACCAACAAGACCTACATAATAATTAGCAAATAGATCAAAATACGTTTTAGATATTCTATGTCATTTAATTCGCACGGAATTTCCAGCTTGCAGGTGTTAGATAGTGCTATAAACAGTCTAACACGACAGTCACATCTCGATCAAAGACTTGTAAATAAGAAAGCTTATATTTAATTTTCGTGACAACCGATTAGGTTTTGCAGCGACCACGTCACAGGGGGCGTGGTAGTCACTTCTGGAAAACACTCAATTAAGAACCTATCCTTGACTCGTGATCTATGTGGAAGTGCGCATATATTTTAAACAAGCATTTGTCGTCACAGTTCTAAGTGTTTTAACTAATAGAGCATCGTGACTGTCCACAACAGATACCATTATAGAGGGACTACTACGATGATAATAGACGTCGTGCCACGGTGTTGACACTGGCTGTATTTGTCACAAATATTGACACTGTGGTGTTATCCACAAAGAGCATGATGGTTCAACTGTATTCCTTGTTAATTGTTTACAAAGTGGGCAGGCTGTGATACTGATGCACTTAGCACATAATTCAGACTGAAATAATTTTATCTGTTGACGTTTCGAAGCGCTAATTCACCTTCAACATACTTTGAGATTGCTTTTCTTTCAGTTCAACTAACTTATCTTATTTGTTTACCTTACTGGTCATATGATTAAAGTTTGTAATATTAATTATAAAGGTACTTTGGGCAATAGCAACCAATGGATCTTTAGAAAAGAAACAGACATAAAGATTTTATTTTTGTGGCAGAATATACCGAACGAATTTTAAAAGAAGTAGAAAAGAGGATTGTAATCTTCACTTCCTCGTATTGGAGACGGTAAATGCCGATCGAGCAGCGGATGTCAGAAGATAAATAATAAATATTATTAAGTGCTTCGTTCTCGGAATTTACGCTTTGTGGTGATCAAATGTGAACAGACGTATTGATACTCTTCTTTTACATTCATCTTATACTTTTTATTATATAAAGATAAAGCTGAAATATTTATTGGTAGCAAACAATCACTAATCTCCAGAACGACTGGTCAGATTTGAATAATTCTTTATGTTTCGTATAGTCCATTTTTTGAGAAAGGCTATAAAACATCACGCTATGATCAACAGGAACCGAGCAGTGGGTGAAATCGCGCGCATAGCTATATAATGTGTATAATGTAGTATATATAGCTGTATAATGTATTTTCGCTTTACTTCTAGCTTAGTGTTAGCAGAGCGAATTTTGAAAGCCTTTCTTTACACCTCACGTATGAGGGTATTCCGACTCAATCTTTAAAAAAGGTCATTGCTTACTTAAGTCTTCCAATCATTTTGTTATTACTATAGTGAAGATTTATAATAAAAAACAATAAAGATCTCATTGAAGAGTACAGCTTGCGTATTCGCTACTGGAATTCGCTAGTGAGATCTAAGGTCTATTGCTTGATAGAGAATTTGCAACTGTGCCATTGGACAGGCAATCATCTTTTGACAGATACCGCAATAAGACAAATAGGACTTAACACGATACAGGCGCCACCTGGAGATCACAAAAACTGTAGTCCTCATTCACACACATCTAGTTACTTATAAGATTTAAATATGTTAAGTTATCAAGCAACACAATACGTCTGCTACGTAAAAGTATGCGAAACCCATAATAAATAATAAGACAATGTGATGTTTTTGGGTTACGTATCGCGAATACATAAACGGTAGGTGCCATAACTCAGACGACAATCAACGCTAATAAAAATCGTATCGCTTTAAATATTATTGACCTTTGAACACTATGCCGAATATAATACAGAGCCATTGTAGGAGGGAAAGATGTCAATAAGTAACAACTATGTAGTACAAAAATTTAAATTCAGTTGACACTGTTTTGAAATAATGGAAGACGATTTTTACAAAGTAATGGTAGTGGTTAGTGACGTCATATTTTTATCATTTACAATTTGAAAAGGAAATTTGGTAGCACACGCACCTTTCAAAGGGTGCCTTTAAATAAACTTGTTATGGTTATCTAGTCAAAACAATCTACATTGTATTAGCCACGAATACAACTCCGTATATTTTTTATAGAAGGACTTGGACATGCATTTGCGCCTTGACTAAAGTTTTATAATATCAACTAGAAATCAGAAAGTAATCTTTCCTCGCGGAACTCCGGCGCATTATTATTACAAAACTCGTGCTTAACTGTTTTTTTTGCAGTCCAGCCGACGACCGGTTCCATCCAAATTTATTTTCGAAACCAGTTTAATCCAGTATCACTCGCAATCTGTCTTGTCGGCAAACAGAGTCCATACATACATTATAGTTCTTCAACGAACGCAAAATAAACGTTAAAGTTGATGCAATAGAGTTTAAAGTTGCACGTCTACCAATTAGGCTGAATAAAATTAGGGGAACTGAATCGCATGAGTGTAAAGCATTCAATACTTTTATGAGTCATTTTGTTGTAGCTTACAAGGTAACCCTTTGTTAGGTATGTCCTAGATCCCATGAATTTGATAATGAGACGACAACAGAGTATTCGTCAACTAAGTAAAAAATGCGCATACGCAAATAAGGTGTAATATCAAACCCTTTACGTGATTAAGAAAAAATCTTGTTCTAAAATAGAACTTCGGCAAAAGCGGTCATATAGAAAGCAAAAATTCGCCAACGTTAGAAATCCTGCGGGAGATCTGTTTCGTACTTACGCGGCCGCGGTGGCTATTTATGTCTTCTCAAAATAGCAACGGCTTGGTCACATGGCCACCGACCGAGCCCCTGCAACGAACACCGTCTGACGTCACCATAGCGTCACATTCAATGAAACTTGTGTACATTCCAAAATTTGGCACACCACCATCTATCCTGACGAAAGCGAATTTAGATACCACCAAACCTCGGAACAGTGTCCTTCTATTTCTTTATTATGTCTCTTGCAACAACAACAATAGTAAACAGCTGTCTCTCTTCTTTTTCAGAAACCTCAAATGCGGCCGATGATAGTAGAATATGACCCCAAGAAAAAAGGAGTCAAAAATGACTTATCAGATGTCGTTATGGTCAAGTAAGTTACTATGTTCCATATGTTCTTCAGAAAGGAAGCCACTAAAACGACAATCATTGAATCAGCTTTGATTGCAAATTTTATGTTTTGTCGATAATTAACTTTCAGTTTGATCTGGTGCCACATAAGATCAAATATTATATGTTGTAATGCTTAGTAAATAATTATTTAGAAATTAAAATCAACATTAAAGCATGCTTCACAGCTTACCTCATTTTTGTTTCTCTTCAACAAACTGATATTTAATTGTGGAATATCTTCTTAGAATTGCCTTAAACCTAATAATATTGACGTTTTTGTTTCAACAGGACATTGAAAAGAAAATGTAAACCTATTAGATATTACTATCAAGGCTAAATATAATAAATCGGTAGCAATTAGAAGTTCAATATGAGGTGCTCCTCGGCGTACCGAGGGACGGCAGCTATGCCGTCACTAGCCCTGGGCCCCATAGCTCGATTTATGTATCAATGTTTATTGATAAATTACCTAATGTTTTGACGTGGTATTTTATATTGTATGTTGACTGTTAAGTACTCGCTCCTTAAAATGAGCTAATTTGCTCGAAGCTGTACGGAGACGATCCGGGAAGACGAGTGCTGCTTCCACGAGATATATGTCGTTCGTCGACCTTGATCATCTTGCAATGGACTCATACACCGGTACATCATTCCATTTTATGGTTTCAATTTTGTTTATTTAATTTGTTTTGTTTGGTAATGGTAATTATTTGAATAATTGCGTACTCAGAGTGGCTGAGACCGCTGCCACTGCGCCGACGCCTCGCGCCGGCCGTGCGCGGCGGCCGCTCGTGCGCCATCTCTGTTCAGGCTCGGGATTGGCTCGCAAACTGGCGATTTGTACAAATTTGATTTAGCTTTATGTTCTTTTAATGTTTCTCTATTTATTTCTTTCTTATTTCTATATTTCTAGAGATATGATTTGAAAGAATAAAACTAAATTCTTGTCAAAATCTTGTAAAATTAATTATCCATATTCAGTCAGTTGATGTGTGTATAGTCCTAGTTATTTACATACAATTGTCCAATTGCCAACTTGTCCGTTAAGTTTATAGATTTAATATATTTTTGATTACAACGTAAAGCTGTATTGAATTTAACGGTTGAGCCATATCTTTGTAAATGCCGAGTCTTAACAGAGTGAAGCGCACACAAACAAAATATATTATACTTTATTTTGGAGACCATAATGAATGTATCACACTTCACACCACAACACTCACACAAAGTAACGCAGCATAATTATTAGAAAATAATCTTGATCATTCGCGAGCAGTTCATATTAGCCACAGATTAGTGTTTTGAGTAGTGCCATGTAACTCGTTCGAATCCGCGACCGCGACATTCACACCTCGTTCGATCACATTTTAGCTTGAGATGTGGCGCTTTATGTGTTTCGCTACCATTACATAGTTCTGCTTTAAATTCAATGAATTATTAGAGACTACACTTTGTTACCCACCTCACTTCTAACCTATCAACACCACTTTACTTAGTTTGTAATATAACCTGAACCATTGCACTTGTTATAACAGTACCTGGGGAATGTTTTACAGGTACAAAGTTGACCCAAATGAGATCCCAGTGGAACAACAGGCGGGCTCCACCCTGCCTCTCATGGAGATTCCAGGCAGGGATATTGAGGCTGATGAGGACTATAATCCTTTCGAGCATAGGAAACTGGCGCATCCTACATCGTAAGTATTTTAGATATTATGCAAACTATATGCCAAGCTACTTCAATATTTTTCTCAAGAAATTTAAAATTAAATCTTGAAAAAGTGATAATACCCTACACCCATTAAACGATACAGTCGAATATAATTGCAAAAAGTCCAAGACTAAGTTCAGTTTAAATTCTAATCAATGTTATAATTTTATACCATTTTCTTTTCAGGGATATGGATACGCTTATCCATTTGCTGAAAGGATCCCTCGGCAGTGGAATCCTGGCTATGCCAATGGCTTTCCGTAACGCTGGTCTCTACTTCGGCTTAATAGCCACATTTGCCATCGGAGGTATCTGCACGTACTGCGTGCATGTACTGGTCAAGACTGCACATGAACTGTGCAGGCGGATACAGAAGCCCTCGTTAGGATTCGCTGAAGTTGCTGAAGCTGCCTTCTTGTCTGGTCCACCGGCTGTGCATAAATTTTCACGACTTGCCAAGTAAGTACCGTAGTGGTAACTGTTCATGGATTTTTGTTCCTTTACAACAAGAGATTGCTCACGTTTATTTACCATCTTTTCAGGGCTATGATCAACTGGTTCCTTGTGATTGACTTACTGGGCTGCTGCTGTGTCTACATCGTGTTCGTTGCCAAGAATGTCAAACAAGTGGTCGACGTGTATGCCAAGGATACCGACTGGTATGGCGTAGATGTTCGTGTATACATGGCAGTTCTACTTCCTCTTCTCATTCTTATGAACTTGATAAGGAACCTGAAGTACCTGGCGCCGTTCTCCATGATTGCGAATTTATTGGTCGGCACTGGAATGGGAATCACTTTCTATTATCTTTTCCAAGATATACCCAGCTTGAGTGAACGTCTGCCCTTCACCCGTATTGAGCGCTTACCAACTTTCTTCGGAACTGCCATCTTCGCTCTTGAAGGCATTGGTGTTGTCATGCCTTTGGAAAACAACATGAAGACCCCCACCCACTTCATCGGATGCCCTGGCGTGCTCAACACTGGAATGTTCTTCGTAGTATCCCTGTACGCATTTACTGGATTCTTTGGATACCTGAAGTATGGAGATAACACTCAGAGCAGCATCACCCTAAATCTGCCACAAGAAGAAGCGTAAGTAGTCATTCTCTATTCAACTCATTTTAATGTTAATTTCAAAACAAACAGAATAGTAATTTTTAACCTCTTCAAAAATACATAACGCCTTTAAAGCCCCAAGAAGATGGGTAAAACTTCCCTCTCTCTAGAACTTAAGACACGCGTCAGAAATCAAACACAAAATCTTTTGTTCAGCATTACCACTTGTAGTCGAACACCGAGAGGTTATATTTACATTTGTTTCTTTTTTATTATTTACAGGCTGGGACAATGCGTGAAACTTATGATTGCTGTCGCAATTTTCTTCACCTACAGTCTTCAGTTCTACGTGCCCATGGAAATTATCTGGAAAAATGTTCGCCACTGGTTTGGAGCCAAGAAAAACCTGGCTGAATACAGCATCCGTGTTGGAATCATCATCCTGACTTTGGCCACGGCTATTGCTATCCCGAACCTTGGTCCCTTCATCTCATTGGTAGGCGCTGTCTGTCTCTCATTCCTTGGCCTCATCTTCCCCGCTGTTATCGAAACTGTAGCTTTCTGGGACAGGCCCAATGGCCTCGGTCGTTTCAACTGGGTACTCTGGAAGAATATGTTCTTGGTTTGCTTCGGAATTCTCGGTTTCTTAACGGGAGCATATGTTAGCATTTTGGATATAATCCACGGTGAGGAATAAGAACAGACGCGCATGACCATTTCATAGAGTAAGCTCAATAGATATGATTTTAAGCTAAGGCCGATTTTTATAAGTGTAACAATGGCTTCGATGGGTTAAATTGATTTAATGTACCTAGCTTCCATTTTAAAACATTTTTGTAATATCCAGTAGTGGTTTTACATGTTGAATTCATATCATAAATAAAAATAACTTCGATAATTAAAGTAACTCTGCACAAAACTCATCTAAAGTTTGTTTTATAAAATTGTTGACCTAAGTTATTGTAACGTTAATTATTGCTTTTAGAATTTTTATACTATTTGTGGTTATCGCCACAATAATTTTGTATAGCAAAGTTGTATTTCCTTCATAGAATTGAGTTATTGTATTTAATGCTCAATTTGTATAACGTGAGTTTAGAAGTATCTTCCTACTAATTTACGTTTTGATTTGAAAATTAGTTGATGCGGAGCAGGTTGTGTATTCTTATAACTTTCATTTATTTAGCCCCGAAACTCTGTAGCCATTTTAGTTTTTAAGCGAAGTGTAGATAAATCTACTTTTATATACATGTGTGAGAATTCGTCTAGTGCATTATAGAAATGTGATACAAGTTTAGGTTAAATAAAAGGCATTATGGTATTGGAAAAATTACTTTTAAAACAAAATTATTTGTTTCGAAAATAGACAATATTAATATCTAATAAATAAAACCTAGTTGTTAGCAAAATTATCGAGCTAAGCTACAGCTTGCCGAGTCGTAAAAATGGATTACAATTTTGGGGTCTAATAGTAGAAACATTATTCGTGATAATAATTATGACATTTCCATTACCAAAAAAACCATGTAGTTAAGTATATAACTGCTTATGTAGTATAAATATTCATATCGAGCTTTTTGGAAAATTGTGAACTGAAGCATTTATCTATACTTACGTACCTATAGGTACAAATATAAGATCTTCCATCGAGATCATTATTGTTATAGAATATAAACAAAACTCTGGCGAAAATGTTGGTAAAATCTCAATATTAGATACATTATATGTACCTAAAGACTGGTTTATAATATTGTATTTTTTTATTGTCACAAAAAGTATATTCTCAATCGTCCTTCGTTGTCTCAAAATTAAACTCTAGAGTTTAGAAGATAAGATTGTAAACGGGTTGCACTTTCAGTTGAACGTGTTGATTGGTTAAGTGACCCTGTTGTTCCTCGTACAAGTTTGATTCTGAATATTTATTTAGATACTAACAGAGCGAATGTTAACGAATGGCTAAAATGTAAGATTAAAAGAAACCTATTACGAATAAATGAACGTGTGATAGTCATTCTGGATTAGATGATAGGTATAAGCGTTTAACTAACTAAAGTTGGGATATATTCCCAACTTTAAAAAATGATTATTGTTAACTAGGGACGTATTATGCATCCCCGCTGTTTTGGCTCTTTTATTTTACCCGACTTCTCGATAAGGAGGGTAATGTGTTTTAGGAAGATGTTTTCGACTTCCGACGTAGTTTAACATAACCACAGCATTTGGGGATATACCTAATAGTGATTTAATGTAAGTTAAAAATCAATTAGACTTCTAGTAACTAAATGTTCCATGAAATACAATTTAACTAAAGATAATATACTTAATAGTCGATGTCAATTCAGATTCTGAAACATATTTTCTAAATTCATATATTTTTTTATTTACTCAATGAGATTGAATATTGCTAAACAGATTATACTTTTGAAATGGAACTATTCATGGGATATCATTCCTATATATTTGGTATTATGTACCAGCCTACCTATTTTAGATACATAGAAGTGGTTGTTTTGTTACAGTATTAAATAAATACGATTTAAGGACATTTGTGTTTCACTGTTTCGTACATTAATTCTTTTATTCCCCGAAGGGTTGTGCAAAGGTGCATAATAATATATATATTTTAACACGTTATACCAGTTATGTTATAAGTCTCATGTAATTAAGTACATATTGTGTGCTATAATGAAGAACTTCCAAAAAACTCTAATTGTACGGGTTTAGTTTGCCCGTACACTACCGTTAGTTGGTTTTAGTTGGTTGAGTTGATTGTTGAGTGTGATGATGAATGAATACTCTTCACTTGGTTATATAGAAGGTTTATTACCCACCAGTTACAGTTTAGTAATACTTTTAATGATTCTCACAGATACGCTTGTGTTACGTTGGCTGTTGTATACACACTGAAGACAGTTTTAATAATTGTTACGAACTAAGTGAAACGACCAATATGCTTACTTAGCTTGATGTCGCGACACGAATGTACGTAAACCGTACACTAATATTACTTTTTCCGAGCCGGAGCTATAACCTGAGGCCCTTGGCAGGCAGTGACGCTGATAACCAGTCGAATAGTAAAACAGGCAGCGCAGTGACCCAACTTGCCCAACCAGTACTTTACAACACATCATCATCATAACACCACACTTTTTATCCGCGAAGGGGTAGGCGAGGTAGAGGTGCACATTACGGCACTTAATCCCACTGTACAACGTAACACCCACTTTTCACTATCTATGTTATGAGTCCCATGTAACAGGCGGTGAACCTATTGCCATAAACCAGGCATGTGCCTGGTTTATGGCAATAACCAGACTCCGTGCTAGTAGTAAGAATTCTTAAAAAACCCAGTAATATTTTGCTCGACCAGGGATCGAATCCGAGCGAGACCCCTTGCCTAGCAGTCGCACTTGCGACCACTCGGCCAGCGAGGCAGTCAAATAATTTACAACACAGTCTTCTACAACATTTTATGATACAGATATATTGTATAGCACCCGGTGGCGTACCGTGCCTTAGCCGTGCGGCGTGCCGTGCCTTGGCCGTGCGGCGTGCCGTGCGTGCCGTGCCGTGCCCTGTATAAAAATTCGTTTGGAGATCCTTATGAGGGTAAAGATTTCTCACAAGAGAAATTTATTTTTGGATAAAATACTATGTATTTAATTTTGTTTGAAAATCGGACAACCCTTCTGCACAAATTATTGCACTATGATTACTTTAGTTTTTCTAAAGTTTCTGCGAAATTTTAACGCATGCTTTACGCGAGAATAAGTTGTTTCATTCGACTTTTGTAATTACTGTAATAAAATCAAACATTGAGAATATTTTATTCATTTATGTTTATACACGTTTTAGAGGGGGCCCGGGGGCACCATATAATTGATACGGCAGATACGGCGCAGCTACGCCCCTGATAGCACAACTATACACAACAATCCCATTAAACACAAAACCGGAGACTGTCTGTCCTGCTAGGAAAATAGCGGTATATATATATACCTACACACATCAACTCTATCGATTATGAGAATGCGTAAAGTGTTAAACTCTCAGATTATATTCCTTGCATAATAATTAACATCGTTACAGGTATGTTTTAAGCATATTTTACTTAGAATAGAATAGATAATTTACTTATTCCTTAATACAGATAGAAATAGGGATAATTGCACACAAAAATCAGGTACATTCGGCGTATGGCATGCCATATGGCATGTTCTCCCACTCAACCTTTGGGTTAACTAGGGAATCAGCGAAATAAGCTCGAAATATACAACTAATAGTAGATAATTATAAATATTTTATAATATATTTAAACCATATACAACACAATATATTTTATTGTAACATCAAGCGTATGACTGCACGGACTCTTACTTAGATCATGTTTCTGTAGATGTATCAAATTCTTCGGTAATATAATACTACCTACCTACACTGTTGTATTTAAGTTAATACTAATAAGTCAATAAACTAGTTTAACAAATGTTATTTAATAATATATTAATTATATCGTAGGTACATATACCTACGATATTTAGGTATCATGTTGTGTTGCTCGTTATGTAGCTGCCTCGTTGGCCGAGTGGTCGCAAGTGTGACTGCCGGGCAAGGGATCTCGGGTTCGATTCCCGGGTCGGGCAAAGTATTACTGGGTTTTTAAATCTCAGTAGTAGCACGGAGTCTGGAAATGGGCCCAGTATATGGCAATAGGCTCACTCCCTATTACATGGGACTCATAACATAAATAGTGAAAAGTGGGTGTTACATTATACAGTGGCATAATGTGCACCTCTGCCTACCCCTTCGGGGATAAAAGGCGTGATGTTATGTTATGTTCATGTTATGTTCGTGTGTATTTACGCATAGACATTAAATAATAAAAATGTATATTATTTAAGTTATTATTTTACAATATTCTTATTCATATATAATATGATCAGCCATCATCAACATCCCATAATAACTAATGCTGAACTTCAGGCCTCTTATATTCCTTTTCCTAACTACTCGTAACTGAAATACCCATCAACATCACAAATTACATCGACAACGAGAACGATGTCTAGTGTCTGTAAGCAACCAGTAAATACAAATGCCGAAAAAGATTTGTATTTACTTCGATGCTTGGTCGTGCGTGCAAAACTTTCTTGTACGCAACAGTAGCAACAGCAACGCCATCTATGCATAACTTACCCATCGTTTAGGTACTTTAAATATAAACCCTTCAAACATTGAACAATACAGACCAATTGAAAATTAATTTAATTTAGCACCAACGCCAGCTCAAACTTACCTTTGGTATATATAGCCTTTAAAAGGATTCAGACAATAAAATAAATCAAGCAAATCGTCAACCTATACCATTTTTTTCCAGTTACAAATGGCACTTGCAATAGTTTGAATAATCCTGAGCAAAAAACGTCTCATCTCATAATGTTGACACATTTATATTAACAACGTTGTACAAATAGCTAAACAGGCAGTATATTTGAAGCCATCGCAGTTTGCCACAAATAAATCAAGTTTTCACAAACACAATAGATGGAGCTATAGTCGTACTCAAAGTCATTTAAGGGTTACATTAATCCAGTCCTTAGCAGTTGTTTTCGCAACAAAATCTTTACAAATTAATAGTCTAAGTACGTAATCTTTAGATGTCCCTGAGTACGGGTAACTTAGTACGGAACATGCATT